GATTTCCTTCTCCAGGAATTGGGTGGATGGTGGGGTGCAGCCACTGCCTGGCTCGGTCGGTGCAGTATCTAGGAAGGGTTTTCACAAGAGGGCGCTGGGTGGCCGTGGCTGGTGGCAGCTCAAGCGGCCAGTGTCATTTCTGACAGCCGGGTTTGAGCGCAGACGGGTCTGAGTGATGCCAAGGGTTGGGGATGGAGCCTCGTGGGAGGCAGCGGGTGGGGAAATGTGGCCCTCAGGGAGGGCTTGCTGGCCGCTGGCTTCCTGGTGTCAGGATGGAGCCGTGTCCCTGGGGCACAGGCTACAGAGACCTTCCCAAAACCCCTCACCAAAATGGGCAGGGGCAGGCAGGGTTTCAACACCGAGATCATCAAATCATGGAATGGTTTGGGTGGGAAGGGACCCTTAAAGGTCATCCAGTCCACCCCCCTGCAGGGAGCAGGGACATCTGCAGCTAGAGCAGGGTGCTCAGAGCCCCGGCCAACCTCCCCTGGGATGGTGCCAGGGATGGGCCAGCGACCACCTCTCTGGGCAGCCTGGGCCAGGGGCTCAACACCCTCAGTGTCAACAATTTCTTCCTTCTTTCTAGCCTAAATCTCCCTCTTTTAGTTTCAAACCATCCCCCCCTTGTCTTGTTGCAGCAGGTTCTGCTGAAAAGTCTTTCCCCAACTTTCTTATAGGCCTGAGGATGTTCCCATCCCCTAGGTTCCTCCATCCTGACCTCACAGATTTTGGGATGCCCTGACCCCACAGGCTTTGGGGTACCCTGGCCTGCCCCAGGAGCTCTTCTTCAGCTCACTCCGTGGAGCCAGTAGCTGGGTGTCCAGAAAAGGTGGCCAGTCACCATGAAGTGAGAGGGTTCACCCAGCACTGACCAGGGAATAAGAACCCTGAGGGTAGGAGAAGGTGCACTGGTAGGACAATCTGGCTTAGTATGGAAATCTGTACCAAACCCACCTGAATTGGGCAGGTGGGGACGCAAGGAACCGAAACCCCCCCTGGGATCTCCACCTAGTCGAGGTCTTTTTGCCTCATCCTCTCACGCAGCCCTGCCCCACGTGGGTTGCATGATTTTGACTCACCAGCCTCCTCTGAGGTTTGAACAAGGGCCGGTTGATGCCGTTCATCTTGTGGTAGAGCCCGCAGGCGTTGCAGAGGTAGTGCCCCGTGCCATCCCTCCTCCAGAGCGGGGTGGACATGGCTCCACAGTTGACACATTCTCTCCCTTCTGAATAGTCATCAAAAAATTCTGCTGCCGTGATGGGAGAGAAGGGAGAAGACTTGGTTAATGAGGTGGCTGTATGTTTAATTTCTGGTCTGGTTCTCAGTTCAGCCCACAAGTGGTATTTCAAGAAATCACAAATATTCAGATTTTATAAGTTTCATGAAACAGCTCTTCCTTTCCCAAGGAAGCCCCTGGGATTATTGGGAAGAGGAAGACCATTCCCTGCCACACAGTGTTGGCTGCAGGACTTGTGTGGCAGCAGGGATGTGCTGGGACACGGATACGAGGAGTCAGAAGTAGAAACCTTCTCTCCTGCCCTGACGTTGTCCAAATTTCAAGACTGGACTTAGCCAGGGGGAGCAGATCAGGGCAGGCAAACTGCCACGTTTACTGCCTGAGCTTCTCTCCATGGGGCTCAAGGAGGAGTGGGCAAGGAAAGCCATGTCTGTAGACCCTGCTGTCCCTCACCTGGCCCACGCCAGCTCCCACCCAGCCCCTCTGCAGAGAGCCAAGGGGGAGAGACGTCCATGAGCCTTCACCCTGCACGAGGAGCATCTTCTGAACTACAAGAATCCACATGTACAACTGCAGCTCAGGCTGTCAGCTAACAATCATTGAAAACTTCTTTCCTGTGAGGGTGGCAGAGCCTGGAGCAGCTGCCCAGAGAGGCTGTGGAGTCTCCTGCTCTGGAGAGATTCCAAGCCTGCCTGGATGAGAACCTGGGCAACCTGTTCTAGCTGAACCTGCTCTAGTGGGGGGTTTGGACAAGATGCTCTCCAGAGGTCCCTTCCATCCCCTACCATTGTGTGATCCTGTAATTGGGCACTTTTATAGGCCAAAACCTCAGCTTTTGATGCATATGTCCATCATGTTTGATACCACTCTCCATGGCTTGGTGTATTCACCCACCAGGTTCCTGGTTCATCCTGCATCTGGGCCTGGCTGCAACTTTGACCTGAGGGCAAGGACAACTGCCCTGGGCTGGACCACACCAACCCCTCTGGCTATGGCATCTCCATATCTTCTGCAAGGTGCTGCAGAGGTCAACACAGTACACCTTGACTGCATCATCGTTTGGAAAGACACAGGTCAGCTCACCCTTGGATAAGAGCCCTCAAGAAGCCAAAAAGCTTCACCTAATAAAGCATAAGCATCAACTATAGGCCTTGCTGAGATGTCAATAGAGCTGCATCCAGCTGGCATCCTGTTTGGAGGATGGCAAGAGCTTTGCATCAGGACCTTCAGCCATTACAGAGCAGAGAAATGGTAACTCCTAAAGCTTTGGCTATATTTTATGCTCATCCACCTGCTTGTCATATGAATATCCCAGCTCCTTGCTGCAAGATAATAGCTCCCCAAACAGCAAACCAACCAAATTTGGCTTCTTACCAACCTGTGTCTCAATCCCATGTGGATTCTCTGATATCTAATCAAGGTTAGGTTCAAACACCAGCTTTATTTTCTCTTTTCTCCAGGCTATTTTTGGAAAATCTGTAGGAAACTACAGAACCATGAAACAGCCAAAGGATTGAAAAAAGAATACTAAAGTGGCATCAGTGGACAAAGACAGAGAAAAAAATTCACATGATCCTAATTCTCCCTAGAAAACCAGGCTAAAAATGGCAAGAGATGACACCGTGTGCCCATGGGGAATTCCTAGAAGACAGTAAATGAGTGAACCCAATGGGTTCTGGAGCCAGAGAAGAAGGAATCTAGTATCTCCTCAGCAGCTTAGGAAAATCTCATTAGCTTTGAGCACTCCTGGTGGCTTAGGAAAGATGGGAATCCCTCCAGGTGACTTTTGTCCACGTGGACTCAGTGACAGTGTCACCACAATGCCTCACTTTCCCCTTTAAAATCACCACTGAGCCACGGCCAAAACCTAAATCAAATAAACTTCCTTTGAAAAGAGATGGGATTGGAACAGCTGCTCAGGAAAGAACTCATTTCCTTGAAAAATCTCAAGAAAGGAAAACATTTCACTATTTTTTTTTTTTCATTTTAGAAGTTGTGGAGGTTTTTTAGTATTATTTTCCAAAGAAAAAGCCAAATTATTTTCACAGTAATTTTTAGCCTGTGAGAAAATCTTTGAAAATAATTCAGCACAAACTTGTTGACGTAATCCAGGGAGAATTGAGCAGAGCAGAGGTAATCCAAAGGTAACAGTTAAAACTCTTGACTGATCTGGGTTGTGGTGGTGATGAATTACCCAATACCATCTTTCATGGTGAGTGTTCCACCAGAAAATCAAAATCTGGAAGCTTTGAATAGGAGAAAAAGGAGAAAATCCCTAACAGTCCCTCAGAAATGGGTCTGCACCCCAGCACAAAGCACTCTGGAGACCTGCTCCCTTTCCTTTCATTTTTCACCTGCATCTTTTTGAGCTTGTTTGGGGGTTGGTGGGTTTGGTTTGTTTGGGTTTGTTTTCAGTTTCCATGAGATCTGACCTGCAGCTTCTCTCCAGAAGGATTTTCACTGGTTTAAGTTTCAAAAAACCCCCTTTTGCTTCCATAGTAGTAACATTTATGTGATTTTTTCCCCTCTCAGCTGCAGACAAACGTGATCCTTGTGAATGTTCCTAGACAGGAATGGCTGGTGCTTGAGCTGGGGAAGGACCAGACTTTGTTCCCAGGGCACAGGGAGGCTCCATGCCATGGGTGGCCCTCCCTAATCACAGCCCTCGTGGGGTGATACCAGAGGGGTGTGTCCCCTGCCTGCACCACCCAGTGCTGAGTCAGAAGATGGCATCTGCCAAGTGCAACCTCATTAAAACCATTCCTGGAGCCCCAACAGAGCGGAGGGAGCTCCTTGACCTTGGGAGATCTCAACCTGGAGGAGAAACAGCCTCTCCTGCTTCAAAGTGTGCTTGATGATGGCAAAGAATGTGCATCATAGAATCATAGAACATCTGGGCTGGAATCACCTCCAAAGGTCATCTAGTCCAACCCCCCCACCATCAGCAGGGACATCTCCAACTAGATCAAGCTGCTCAGAGCTTCATCCAGCCTGATCTTGAATGTCCCCAGGGGTGGGGCCTCCACCACCTCTCTGGGCAACCAATTCCAGGGATCTATAACCCTCAGACTGAAGAACTTTCTCCTCATGTCTGACCTAAATCTGCCCTTTTCTAGCTTAAAGCCATTACCCCTCATCCTGTCACTCCAAACCCTTGTGAATAGTCCCCCCCCTTGCTTTCTTGTAGGCCCCTCTCAGATATTAGAAGGTGGCCCAGAGATGACGTGGGCATTGTGCATGTCCTTTAGTGAATGAAGGGCGTTTGGGCCCCCATGGAGAAGTGGAAGGCAAGAGACTGGATTTCTTTCTAGAAGAGGTGCTATAATTTCCCAGGATGACTAAACTCAGGGCTGAAGCTGCCGAGGGGAGCTTTCTGAGCTGACCTCCTGGCCACAGAGCTGAGACACCCCAGCAAAAACCTGAAAGTCCACGAAATAAGGAGAAAGTTTCACCTGAAGAGCTGCAGCCCATGCACTTTGGTGTGGGTGGGGTGTCCAGGACGTAGGAAACCCAAACATTCCCTAGTCTCAGAGCCCACAGGAGCTGTGGTCCACCAGCAAGCCGGAGCTATATTGGGCATGGAGGTCACTGGGCTTCAATGCACTAATTGTTTAATTTACCGTTGTTATTAATAACGAGGATTAAGGAGGCTCCCCGGGAGAAAAAAAAAAAACCCATCCAAGTGTTTTCTTGGCTTCCATCTCGGGGCTGGAGCTCTAAATCCTGGCATTATGAGATCCCCTGACACTTACTCCTCGTCCGGAGCCGCCGGGAAAGGAAACGTTTATTCAGGCAGCCGATTGCCCCAGCGGGCCCTGAACAATGCAGGGGGAAGGAAAAGCTCCCCAGTCACACTCAGGGCAACGATTTCCCTCCCGTGGCACAGGAGCCGCTGCCTGATAATGGAGATTTATGGGTCCCTCTGGTGACCTCTGGAACAGCCTTCCTGCTGGAGAGCTTTACTCCCTCTCCCGAAGCCAGGTATGGGAGAAGGTTGAGGAAAGGATAACGGTGGATGGTTAGGCTGAGGAGGACATTGGCCCGTGGCTGGAGTGGCCTCGTGTGTGCTGAAGGACCTCATCTTCCTCTCTGAACGTACAGCTCCCCCAAGTGCCTCTGCCTAGACCTTGTCATAAGATCATAGAATGTTTTGGGTTGGAAGGGACCTTGAAAGATCACAAAGTCCAACCCCCCTGCAGGGAGCAGGGACATCTGCAGCTAGAGCAGGGTGCTCAGAGCCCCGGCCAACCTCCCCTGGGATGGTGCCAGGGATGGGGCAGCCACCACCTCTCTGGGCAGCCTGGGACAGGGGCTCAGCACCCTCAATGTAAAGAATTTCTTCCTTCTCTCTACTCTAAATCTCCCATTTTTAGTTGAAAACCATCATCCCTTCTCTTGGATAATATCAGTCTTGGGATCATTCAGCCCTTTTTATGAGTTGGGTCCATGGTGCTGACTAATGCTAATGACATTCTGCTTAATTCTTCATAAGACCCTACCTTTAGACCAAGCAGGAGCTTCTCACACAAGGACAGATCACAAAATCTCTCTGAATGACCAGGCCATTGGAGGGGATAGGTTGGGTCCTGTCCCTGTCCTGGTCATCAGCTTGCTGTGTAAAAAGAGATGTTTTTCCCCTCACACCTACAGTTTATGAGGACTGCAAGGTCCCCAGGGTAGGAAATGTCTCTTGTGAGTTGCACAACAGCCTCCTAATCTTGGGTGAGGCCTTGAGCATGCTAATGTTTGAAATACTTTCCACAATGGGACATTCAGTCCCCAGGGAGCTAGAAGCAACTCCTAAGTGGGGCACTGGGGTCTGGTAAGGAAAAACATTCTTGGATATGGCCTTTCATGCTCTTAGTCATTGGGAGTGGTCCTTCACATCCACCACCAGGTCTACAGAGGCCAACTGGTTCAGACAATGCAGGGTTCAACAAGAAGGCAGATCTGAGCACCTCCAGCCAGCCCACACCTACAGGCACTTTTTCCAGCATGGCTAGGACATGACAACATCTCTGACCAAGGACATGGTCCACCCAAAGTTCGAGTATTTT